GGTGATCAGTACGGTAATATTAGAACTGCAACAAAGCAAAACTCACATCATGTAAAGTACGTACTTTACATGATGTGAGATTTGTTTTGTTTCAGTTCTAATATTACCGTACTGATCCACCTGTGATCAGCACGGCGGGCCAAACTTTTGATAGAACTTCAAAACGCTGCTGAGTTTTGGTTTGCTACAGTACGGAATTTAATGGAACTTCGATGTTTAGCAGAGTACTGAAGACAGCTAGAATTCTTTCACGTCGTACAGACAAGAGTAACTTGGCATGTAATTAGTTGAAACGACAGTAGAAGCGTACTGCTAGCAGATGTATCGCGTCCAATGGCGGTCGATGAATTCGATTGTATACTCATTTCAACGACCAATCCGAGCAAGAAAAGAGATGAATAGGAACCGAATGTTCATTTCAACAATCAAAACAGAACGGCAACAGATAGAGATAGCCAAAATGAGCACCAAAACTGTTTACCACTCCCTGTGCATACACGTATACAAACTAGACACGACTGAGTGTTTTATCAAACACACACACATACAAACACGAAGTTCATTTTGGTCAATTTCAGAAAAAAAACTACACCGTGTTGGTTATTTATCGATATCGTGTTAAAACCTCACTGTATACCAGCATAGAACACAGAAGTATTTTAACAGACGTATACAAGCTTATCGAGAGAATGGCCGCTACGCAGTGTTCAATGAATAGTAACTAATTTTGTCTTTTCAACTGAAGACCAGGAAAAAAAGGACGGGCTTACGGACCGCGTGCCCTTACGGGCGGACCCTATGGCCAGAGCCCATCAATCACGTGCACTGCGTGCTCGTAGTAGAATAGAAGGCTTGTCTGAAACCCGTACTCTTTCCTCTGTTATTAAACTTATCTTAGTTCGAAACCACTATCTACTCGTCTCAGTGTGTTGTCAAATCTTTGGTTTCTATAGAAACAGTTGACTAACGTACATTGTTGAGAATAACAAACTGGATGTTATATACGACGACTAAACACTCATCGGCTATTTCACATCTTACTCTGTTATCTGTGTGAAACAAAGTGTTGATAAACCCATTCGAAATTTAAAAATTAGTTTCTTAGCATTATAGCAACGATCTTCCCCCTCCTTATCTATAAGTAAACACCACAAAAAAAATCATTTTGAGAAACTCCACGGAAAAAACAAAGAAATAGCACCGCACCAATAAATCAAAACAAGTAAAATAAGCTTAAAATCTAGATGGTTTTGATATATGAAAAAACCGCATAAATACGATAATTTTATATATTTGTGGAAACATTTAACTTCTCCTCTTGTTAGAGAAAATACGGAAGTTTCATTTAAGTAGTTGTTATTATACCTAACATTATTCAAATACTTTGACGTGTTTTGTTTTTATCCTGATGCAGTTATTGTAATTAATTAACCACTTGCTCACATTATAATACAATTATTTGTAAAAATTAATCAAGATTCACAGCTCTGAACCTAGGGATTGACTGGTTCCGCAAAAACGTGCTCCACACTTTGGGGACGTGGGTGCGCTAAAAGTGACAGTCAAATCATAATTTACAAAAGTGTAGTCGTAGTCCAAAGGTTGGCGATGGGTGCCTTTGATTACTACCTCATCTCTAGTCTATCAATTCACAATTAGGGACTGTTATGCGCATTAATCTCTTTGTATAGTTTTATATGAAAATTCTGAAATAAACAGAAAAGTGCGGATAAAATAAATATCCGTAAATTAAATGTATGTTTGTAGTTAAACACAAAGCTACACAATGCGCTATCTGTGCTCTGTCCACCACGAGTATCGAAATCCGGTTTCTAGCGTTGCAAGTCCACAGACATTCCGCTGTGCCACTGACCGCGGAGGAGGAGGGGGGGGGGGGGCTCGTAACTTAAAAAGTAAATTCAAGAATTCAAGCTTAAGACACTGTAAATAAATTTGGGATTCACAGTTATCGGCTTACAGCTAAACGATTTTGGTTCCGGATGCAATAGTTTGTGATGACCTACTAATTTATTCAAAGAATTCAGTTGGTGTGTTAGGTTAACTAAACAAAGCTTTTAAGAGTCTAGTTATAGTTACAAAATGAAAGGAACCGAAGAACAAGGTTAAATTTTCATCTGACAAGACAAGTTGGCTCACTTAACCGATTTCAATAGTTCTAAGTCATATAATTGATAGATGTTGTCCAGCTGCTGAACTACATTTCATTTCCATCTTTCTTAAAGAATAAGAGAAATAAGCACTTACTTTCTCCAGATGTTTATGATGACAACAAACACTAAACTAGTTACGATTTCAAAAGTCGGATGGGTTAAAGAGAAGGCTTAAAAGCATACCTTGAGTAAGAAAACATCACGAAAAAGCAAAAATGCCAGTTCTTAACATTTCTGTTTAATCTAAGTGAGAATCGTTGGGAACAAATCCTATTTTAGTTACTATAGAGTACACGATTTGTTCAAATTCAGAAATGTACGGACTCAACTAAACAGACAAGACATATAATATAAGAAAGCATTTTTGTTTCCCTTTAGCGTTTGTGTAGAATAAAGTCTTAGCCTTAGCCGAGTATATGTCAGACTTTGAGAATGGGTAACATCACATTACCCTTCACATTAAGCCCAGATATTAGGGCAAAAAGTTCCGTTTCATCTGTTATCTTCTGTGAAAATTCTTCCATGGAATATTCTCTCGCTGGGCAAGACCCTATGTTTGAGGCGTGGCTGATTGTGTAATTTGCCCCTGACTGTTAAGATAATACATCATGAACGGCAGTGAAACCTGAAATAAACCTGGATTAGTAGCACATGTAGAAACAGACATAGGACGCCGTTCTGAATCCAATCCTTTTCCTTTTTTTTTTTCATTTTGCCGCGAAACTGATATCATGAACGCGCCCACGTTAATGATATTTCTACCCAAGGCAGAAAAGCGGCAACTACAGAACCCGGCAGGATGCCCACGGACGTCTTGACCTCAGTCCTCTCAGCTGGTCACCATAGACAAGTCATTGATCTCTCTCGATAGTTTGGTTCACACTTGATGGTGACCCCCTACTGAACACTGTTTAGACCTTGTGTTTACATGCTGCCGTACTAATAAAACCACTGTTAGTTCCCTACTGAACACTGTTTAGACCTTGTGTTTATATGCTGCCATACTAATAAAACCAATGTTAGTTCACTACTGAACACTGGGTGTACGTTTAGACTTTGCAAGTTTGATTTATTTATGATATATGTTTATTTTTTATAGAGATTAGGCTTATAACATTAGAACGTCTCCACGGCTGAAAGGATGTAACAAACATATATGTCGCTG